ATTATTAAATATGTTGAGGATATTAGCAATATTATTGAATTTATTTCTAAATTATGTAAATATTTTATAATATAATTAAAATTAATATATATATAGATATTTCAATTTTCTAGAGAATAGCATTATTCTTTTTATAAATATAATGTTAACTTAATTAACAAATATACATTAATTATTCTTGCGTATATAACGTGTGAATGCGTCGGTATGCGTACATATCGCTTTGTGTGGAAATTTCAATTTTCGTATATGAAAAGGAAGCCGCTGCGACGCAGCAGCGACAGATATAGAGAAGAGAGACCTATTACGCGCTTCCTGTAACTGACGTTCCGTCTCCTTTCGCCAAAGGGCTAATTTGCAAGGTAAGGGATTTAATTAGCAAGCGCGCAAAGGCAAGCGACCGCACGCTATCATGTAATATGGCTCTTTTTAATCGCCTCTTTAATCTAGTTTGTGTTTAACTTAGATTTTGCGTTTGTCGTCTTAAAAAAAAATAAACTCTAAATTTTTGATTGAAAAAGAAATAAAAATTTACCTTGATAAATATGAAAAAGAGATTTATTACACGCTTCTTTGTAACTGATGTTCCGCCTTTTCTCGCCAAAAAGCTAATTTACGAGGCAAAAGATTTAATTAGCGACCAATTAGCACTCTAATACCATGCAATATAACTCCTTTTACTCACTTGCTTAAAGCTAGCGAGCACTTGATTAGATATTCTCTCGTGCGCTATTTGAAAGGCTTTGTTATTTTCGATTTAAAACCGATTTTAACTGAATTTGCAAAACGAAAAGCATAAATTCTGCCGCGTTTGCATCATGCAACATAATATGTTTACATTTTCTAGAGTCATAATTATACGTTTCAATACCTTTTTGAGGTTTTCTCGTATAATTCACACCGATGATACTGTTATGTAATAATTCTACGAAGATTGATTTTGTCGTTCATAAAGTAACAATTACCGTAACAATTGCGGCTTTACCGCATAGGCAATGTAATCACGTAACGAAGCGCAATACGAATGTAATCATAACTACAGCGATATCAGATGAAATGACGGTAATAGCGTTGCTCAAACAACAATGAAAATGGCAATAGCATAATAACAAAGAGTATTACAAAAGAAACAATATATGCGTATATGCGTTGCAGGAAACGTTTCAATTGCAAAACGAATAATAATCTCATGGCAATAAAAAAAATTATTATCGCGTAAGATAGACAAAAAAAAATATATATATATCTCTCACCAAATATCAATCTATTCTTTTAATTACTCGTCACGCACAGTTATTTATCACGGGAATAAAATAATCCGCATCAATTAAACGTAACAGCAGAATATTTTCGTCGTGCGAATTCGCACTTTTCAAAACGTATTCGTTCAAGCGCGTATTTTCCGCCCTTATCTCCACCCTTTTCGCCTAATATCCGTATATGTGCACCGGCAAGATTATTAAAACATTTCCTGTTGATAATCCGTTTCGCATCCTCGGCGTGCGCGCGTGGGATTTTCGCCGAGCACTCCTCGCATCAGCTCGCGACGGCTTTTCGCGCGCGCGGCTCTGTCCTCCTTTCTCCGTCCTCCTCGTCCACACACACACACACACACGCGCGCGCGCGCGCGCGTGCACACACTTCGACCTGTAGCCTCGTTCTTTTTGCTTCTTCTCTCACGTCCCCGGGAATACCCCGGATATCCTCGATTCTAATTCAATCGCACGATTTTCTCCCAGGAAATCCCGCCCTTCGAAATGGCTTTGCCCAATACCACCTCCTCACCTACGATCTCGCGAATTTCTCTCGTACCTGCCCTCTCATGCTGCCGGTGCGTTTTCAATTCCGACCTCAGGGCCGTATCCGCCGGTCTGCCGGCGGACGATAAGATTTAGAGCGTCCCGACGAGAAAGGAAGCGACCTACGATGGGACGGCGATGGGGTGAGTTTCCTCCGGTTTCGCGGAATTTTAGAAATTCGTATAAGATGAGATATAAAAGAGCCGCGAGCGGAGGCATAAACTTAACGCAACGCGGTCGCCGGAGCTGTCGGAAGAAGGAAAATTTATTTTCCCCCTCGTCCGCGCAATTATTTTCGCACCACCGTATTATCTTTGCTTCGTTACAGCGATATCGCCTATTATACGTACAGCACGCTATTTGATATAAATCTTATTTTCAAGAATTTCTCGTATTACCGGGATTGTAAATATAATTATCCGGTGCCGGATTGCGCAGCAATTGTGAAGTAAAAATTGTTTATCTGTAATACGGCACGTTTCCTTCGTAAAAAGTGTCAACTTTTTCAATCCGACTCGCGTTAAAAATCGCGAGAATCCACCAGGATCCCACGTCTCATCCGCGAGATTGTAAAATACTCACGTTTGCACTGCTATATAGCTTTGAAAGTTATTTCCATGAGTGGCTACTTCGTATACATTCCCTACGTCTCTGTTACGTAACTGCACGAGATTTAAAGCAGAATCTCTCACTGATCTTTTTTTCGCAGTAATTCTACATCACGTACTCGTATTAGTAGATTTCATTTAATAATCAGACAAATATAAATTCCAGTGAATTTTACAGAAACAATTGTCTTCGAATTTACCAGAAAAGTCTAATAAATCCCAATGTATTCGGCAAATATATATTTTTCCTAATTTCATGCGACTTTTACAAGAAATTACGATGTACGAAATTAGTGTCGCAATTAGTGTCGTACCCTTTTCCGCTCGAAACAGGAAGAAAGAGTGGCTTTTGCCACGTGGTATTACTGAAACTTTTAACGTCCTTTTCTTTATTTTGCAAAGTTTGTGTCCCCGCTAGGTAAAGAAGTACAATAAAACTAAAATAACCTCAGCGACAACTTGCCGTTCCACCTGACAAAGCTTCGTTTCAAAATACTCGCTTAATTTTCTACTCCAAATTCAACGCGAGAATAAAAATTCTCTTGTACAAAAGTACCGATTAATTAATAAAATCTTTATGATGAGGTCGAGAAAGTGCGCGAAGCTTTTCTCTCGTCTTCTTTCGACCACGTCAATTTTCGTTGCCCATACTTCATCGTTCTCGGTCCACTGAATCCGACATGTTAATCGATATTAAGTCCTTTTAACGTAAAGTGCAATTAATTATAGATTTCGGATGAAGAATTTTTGTTCAGAACCAATTTCTACAATATATAAAGCAAGAAAAATTATAAAATAATAAAAATCAACAATATTGTTAAAACCATAATAATATTATCGCTTTAGCGCTGGAAAATGGTTTTAAATTTATCGAAAAAGTATAAAAACGTACTCATTTTCCCGATAGTCGATCTTTAATCGGATAAAAAAGATTTACTTTCTTTCGCGCGACTTTGCATACGGCGCACTTTGAAAAACTTCGTTTTCGCCGCTCGCTCACGCCACGTCCGGAGAAAAATCGTCGACCTCTAATACATCTCAGCGTGCACCCGGATGTTACTGTCAGGTTTAAGGTCAAGCAAAGAACGCCATTTTCCGACAGTGGCCCTGGCGACGGACGTAAGAGGATTAAGCCAGTTTTCTTCCCGCCGGATTTGGCGCGGCCGTACCAGCTGCTGCTGTCGGCCGCTTCCCCGTTTGTTCCGTTTCCTTTTACGACGCGTGATCGTTGATGCAATTAGCGCGGATTTTCATCCTTCGACCACCTGCCGTTGCCACGGGCGCTCGCGACTTCTCTCGTTTAAGGTCTTTGAGGCCGATCGATATATCGTTTTCCATATATAAGTTTCCTGAGAGCGCTCTTGGTTTCAGATGTTTAATAGACCATTAGCGGTTTTTACATTTGACTCTTGTTTTTCTCATGAATACAGCGTAATACCGCGGCGAATGTTTTAAAAGCGAAAAAATACGTTCGTAGGATGTAACCATTATCAAGTAATTTTTTGCCGCGCTACAATTACATACATTTTCACGATGGAAAAATAGCCCTTTATTCAACTGTTATTTTTAACAATATAAATCCGATATTTTTCTGATTAATATATATTTGTATAAAAACTGAAGTCTGTATATAGCGTGACCTAAATTCGTCAACTTCATATTGCATCGTAATCCTTTGATCAATTCAAAGGCAACATCCCCTAACTCTAACATAGACGGTTCTCGAGTTATAGACGGTTGAAAAAGGAAGAGTTGTCAACACTCTAATTAGCGTTAATTGCCAAAAGTCAAGGATTGCTTTGGCTAATTATTAAATGATAAAAGCTTACTGTCTCTTGGCACGATACAAAAGAATATATTGCGCGTTAAATCTCAGACTTCGACCTTGCATCACGTTTGAGGTCTAATTGAATATTTATGAGCTGTGTATCCGATCGACTTTTTCTACGTGTCCAATCTTATGGTCCATCGCATTAAATAGACCTTTTCTTATTTTACTCCAAGCAAAGAGGATGGCATCAGATTAAAGTTTTCGTCGCACGGTCCACGGAGAAATCGATACAGCAACTTTGTAACGAGAAAGCGTTCTCTAAACTCATCCCGGGATCAAGTTGGATTAAATGCACGGAAGATTAAAAATTATTCAAGTACCGGATTACGTCGACGTCGGGAGAAAATCATTTTGCGTCACCCGCGTCATCTCTTTAACATCATTAACGCATACAATGGTGCATATTGAACAGAATATTGAACTGTATCGATTTTTATACGTCGGTCTTGCAAAAGATTTAATAATATTAAAATTGTAAGTCCACTAAGATAAAAACATTATCTTCCATAATAAAATTCATAATAAAATTCTTCAGAATTCTTCATTAAATTGAAAAATGTGGTATTAATTTATTAATTATTAATAAATATTTTGAAAAATTATTTCATGTATTTGCAGCACAATTAATATCCAATTTCAAAAGTAGGTCATATTCAATAATATGTTCAATAATATGTTCAATAATTATTTTCAATATTCTGTTCCAATATTTTCTAATATTATTAATAATAAAATAGTATAATACATTTATTCATTACTCACAATATGTGCTATTCGGTGTGGCGTTTTGGAGCGATAATTCGACCTGCAACAACAAAAAGAAAATAAAATTAAATATAATTTTATATACATATGTATCTTATATTATACATATAAAAATAATTATTATTTATTAAATATTTAATTATTAAATTCGGTTTTAAAATCATTTACAAGTACTTAATTAAGGACTTATAAATTTCAGAATATTGTTTCTTTTCTGATAAAATAATTGCAAAGAACAATATGAAAAGTAAGAACAAAGTTTACTTAAAATTGGCTTCGGATATTGTATTACACATTCTTGAAGCCCGAGATTCAATTTAATCTGCATAACTGAAATGTCCGACTTCGTAGTGGTTTCTGAAGCGATAGCGTCGCATGAGCTACCCGTGGAGAATTTAGATTAAATTCGGAGAACGCATGAGCGAGTTTCGCTTATAGTTTTATCAGGCACGAGCTAGTATTGTCAAGAAAAAAATGCGTCGCCTGCATCTCTTTGGCGAATGACCGATTGACCGACCGATCAAAGATTCTCAATGCTGCTCGCGTGTGAGGTGCAATAAAGCGTTCAAAGCCCGATGATTTCACGGCGCGCATCTGCAGGAGAGCGGGCTTAGAATGTAAATCGCGAACGAGTGAATCAGCCTGAAAATTGCATAAGAATTTTATTGCCCTCCCCGATGTCCTCCTTTGTCGCAGTCTCGTTTGACTCCCCCATCACTGTGCCGGCGTCGCGGACGCTGTGAAACTGCGTTCGCGCGCGTGAGAGAAAGCAATTAAAACGGCGCTTTATCCCGTCGCCTTGAACGCCGCAACGGCGAGAATGCAGTTTTCGCCGCAGCTGCGAATCGACGCGGAAACGCAGTTAGCGGCGTCGTACGTGCCGCGCAAAATTTTCGCGCGAAATCGTTCGGTTTGCGTCTGCGCGAATTAATTGCGAGCTCTCTGTACGTACAGTCGACGACGACGAAAATAACCGACGGCTGCCAGACCGGTGGAAAATGTTGCGGGTTGTGTTTACGTTAACAAAGCGCGCGCGCGCGCCCGCATGGAAATCACGATTATTATTTCCTAAGCACGCTGCGTTTCCGCGCCGAATATTTGCCGCGGTAAACGCCATTTCTACACGAGGCGAAACAACGACGTGCTTTTGCTCTCTCGATTCTCGTGTTCATTACGCGCGTTTATATAACGTAATTACACGTAGTTCTGTACAGCATTCTGCACAGCGAAATAGAAGTGTGAATTATGCTGTACGTCTTGTGAATTTTTTAATATCGTTATATACCTAATACATTTGTAATTTGATGTAAGAGCGAAGTATGTCAGTTTAGGATCGATGTGAGATGTGCTGCATAATGAACTGCAGCAAATGCGATCTTTTATAGGGGAATTTCAAACTTTCCAAGTAAGAAAATCAAGTATGACTTGTTTTCAACTGCTTTATTTTCAGCCGTGAAACTAACTTTTGTGAAGAATCGTGCCCGTTGAAGTTTATCGTAAAAGATTACAAAAATTTTGTTTTGATTAAAAAGTGCCATTAGCCGTTCTTGCATTAAACCATAGATATAGGGGAAGGTGGGGTAAGACGGACCGCGGGGTAAAATGATCCATTTGCTAAATTTTATTAGTAAGTATCTGTTGGATAAACATAAAATTAATTTCCTTTTTGATGCTTTTGAACTGTTTAAAAATTACGTCATTATATCATAAGACTATCGTGAGTTATTTATAAAGAAACGTCAAATTCTTGCAAATAGATCTCGTGATCTAGTTTCTTAGTATTACATTTTAAGTAACTAAGATTGCAAAACTTAATATTTTTAAATTTTTCTACAAGTTCCATATTTCTGGTTATTTGGAGAAGTAATATTTCATCAGTTACATTTGAAAAATAATTTTGATACAGGTAAATAAAAATAAGATAATATTAATGTTGTTATGTGGAGTAAAACGGACCAATTTATATATTTGTTCTACTTATATTTTCTACTTATACTTTCTACTTATAGTTTTCTGCTTATATATTTGCTCTGATTTGAGAAATATTTTACATCTCATTTTCTTTTTTAACAATTTTTTGTTTTTTAACCATTTTTCTAGTTGCTAAAGATGCCTAGAAATTATAAAACAAAATCGAATCAATGTAAATGAAATGAGGAAAATTTATACGAAACCTTAAAAGTCATGTTAGAAGAAAACATTGGTAAACGAGAAACTGCAAGAAGATAAAATGAGTAATGTTAAATTAATTTCTATTCTTATTCAAAAATATTTAATAAATAATATATAGTTTTGATTTTGAGTTGATCAGTTAAATTATTTCTTGGTCCATATTATCTCGGCTTGGTCCATTTTACCCCATGGAAAAATTAAGTTTTTTAAAATCTTAATAATAATTCAAACTTTTGCAAGTTTTGAAAATTTAACATTATGATCTTATAATAAACATTCTACTGTTTCTTCATACAAAATTTCAGTTATTTTTTGTCATTAATATAAAAAATATGGCCATTTTCGCTTAGGGGGTCCGTCTTACTTCACCTTCCCCTACATACAATATTGCCTCTACTGCTTTCGATAGTAATAAAATATTATCTTATAAAACAACAAGATATATATATACGCCATAAAAAAATTAGACCACTGTCGCATACTATATCGCAAAAAAAAAACACTATCGATTTAGTCTGTCTCTTTTTTTAGGCCCTTGCAAGACTCCCTCGCACATTCGATTCCGTATAGTCCGCCGCGAATTCCATGATTGGAGGCCTAAGTCAATAGACGAAAGAACGGGGAATCAGATCAATCAATCGTCTAGCGTTAGACGGATAGCACCATAAATTCTATCTCCCGAATTTCGCCAGGTCCCTGCGCATATACATACGTGTACACGTGTGCGAGCAACCGGGCGCAACTATGAGCGAAACTGCAACTGCAAACCGACTGTAATTGGAAGGGCCGTAGGGCGCGTGCTATGTATCCATCGCGTATATGGAAGTTGCGCGCAAGAGCGCCGTGATCGAAATCGAAAACCTCGGGGCGCGTTCCGCCAGCGTTTTCGGCTTGCGAATTAGACGCGTCGACACGTGTACTGTAATCGAATCGCTTCATACCGCGCGCGCATTTCGGTCGGCGCCGCTCGCACACAACACACACACAGCTGCATCCGAAACTTTTAATCGCGCGCAAATCGGCTCCCATAAATCGGCGCCATCATCGCGCATCGCGAACATATTCGAGTATTCTTGTCTGCGCGATTGCGATGAGTATGATCGCACGATTGAAACGTACTAACAATACCGTGTAATAGCATTAGCCAGTCCACGTTTGTAATTTTGCTTGCAATATTGCAGCGCGACAGACTTTATCAATCGTAAATTGTGTAAACTGCATAATTTTACGTTTAGGCATCGCATTTGTGGTGGTATATGCATAATTTTGAACACGGATAATTTAAATCTTGTGATATTTGCAAGTTAATTTGCTGTGACTATACCGTGATTAACGGCATTAGTCGCATATATAAATGAGTAATACGACGTGGGCATTCAGCAATCATGTAGCCACGTTTCTACAATGCTGAAAATTGAAAGCATAATTGCACGATTAAAATAATTTACTGCGTATAATTATATTATAATATAATTTAATGACTAACACCAACGTTCATAATTATGCCAAAAGTTTTAACCAAATGCAGAAAAGACATCACGAGCAACGGTGCGACGGCAACTTTATCCAGCTAGCAACTGTAATTTGCATTATTCCAAATAAATAATGCAAATCAACTTTAATTTAATATTTTATTCACAATTAAAAATTAATATTCGTACCGTCATATTATATTTTATAATTATATCAAATCATCCGTCACTTTCGATAATTGACTTTATAGTGACTTCCGGCAAGCATTAATAATGCGATCTTCGCGGAATATTATTTTTATCACCATCGCAAATTTTCTTGTTTTTATCAATGCTGCGATTTAAAGATTTATTCCAATACATTTGAGAGCTTTGAAATGCTTTAATAGATCTATAGTGATAAAATTCGCCAATTGAAATAGTTTCGAAAAATTTACAGACATGTTACGCTTTTATAAAGCGCGTTAATCTGAAACACTGCACAATGGTTTCCGTATTTGTCCACGAACGCTCACCGTGACGGTAATCGTAAAAACGTCGTTTCCCCAAATGTAATCCACTCTGCCAATTTGGAAAGAGACTATCAGGCTTCGATCCTCGCACGAATTCACGAACAGCGACTTTATCTCGCATTCAACCCTTTACGATGTAGGTCAAACGTAATTCGTTCCGTTTAAATTTGATCGCGATGCATCAATGTTTAATTTCTTCCAACTATTTATAATGAATGAAATACGGTTTTAAAATATTGCTCAAAAAATTAAATATTGTAAAAACTTAAAATGTCTATAGTATGTTTGTTGTGCTCTCTCCCGTCAGAGGAAAAGAAAACATTCAATTTAAGAAACTTTTGTTTATCAAATCACGTTACGTGAAATTTTTGCTAACGACTTTACGGGGAGTTCGCAGATTTCATTTCCGAGTGTGCTGTAATCCTAGAAACTTTTCGAATTAAATTTCTAAATTACGCTTGATCTACCGAAGAGCTCTCACGGCCCACGCTTAACTCCCCTCCCTTTATTTTTCAAGCAGGCGAGAAAGTCCAGAGAGTTTGACGAGCGTTTACCGAGTTTCGTTCGGGAATTCTCCGCGCAACTCCCGGAAATTCCGGTCGAGTCCTATGGTGGAAATAATGAATCGCTTCGCACTACGATGATAAATGCGGCCTTGATAAATCGCAACATCCGCCTCTAAATTTGTAGTATGATTTAATGAAAATGTGCTCGAACTAAAGTTTTCCACCTCGCCAGTTATCAGGATTAATGAACTCAACTTGAAAGTACCGTATAAATAAGAGAGATTCTTTGCAATTTCATTATAACTTGCTCAGCTGAAGATATCCAAAACTTTTCGTCGTGAAAATTAATACTTTTTTTTATTTTTCAACAAATAAACA